CCCCCCCCCCCCCGTCCTGAAAATTATACCTTTGTATATTCAATAAAAGGAAGTAAAATGAAAAAATGAAAATGAACTAATATCCGAGGTTCCGGGGAAAAGTTGCATTTATCACGCATTAACTCATACATGAATTTAGGTGATAAGCCCCAAATTGAACAATCGCTATATTCTCTATTCATGTCCATGGAGCGTCAGCACCGGTAAGGGTTTTAACTTGCGGTTTCTCGATAACAACAATGCTCTCAACTGTATCAATGACCTTCAATTTTCCCCATCCTATATTAGGACGGATACGCGTTCGATTGAAATCGATGTGGATTTACCTCCATTATTTGCTGTAATTCTGGTAAGCTTTCTAATGACTCCGCAAGGATGCAAGGCAAAATTATGTATCCTTTCTTATCTTTTCTACAGCAAAGATTTGCTTTCCAACATTGACAACTCTCTCTCTCCTGAAATATAACCACTATGCAACATCGAACCATGGTTCGGATGAGAACTTTTATTTTGCGCATCGCCAGTCTTCATTAAGCTTAACCGTTGAATAATTCTGTAAACCCAGTATATTCGTAAATCCGGCATTCGGGATTGGTATATCTACATGCAATTGCCGTTTATCGACGTCCGTAAAGGAGAAGTAAATGCTTGTCCACTCGGTTAGCTGGGGTTGCGTGTGGGCGGTTCTTTCTGATTCGGTCAGAGATCTCATTTGAGCGCTGGGTTCTTTGGTGACTACTACAACGCCCTTTGAATGAACATTTTGGGGTGATCAACTGAAGAGCAATCAGTCAACGCGTGCATGGACACTAAACGAATAACCAGCGACTCTTTATTCTAATGCTGTTGATACACACAAAACTGTCGAGACGCACAGCCCACAACTGACTACTGACTGGGATTCTGTCAGTGGGCGAGTGCATAGCCCGGACACTTAGCACAAATCCAACGCCTGCAACACCACGAACTTGAAACGACGAAGTACCTAACAAACATGAGGATGGGGTTTGGTTTGAGGAAGGTGCTGCGACAACAATGGGGTATTATATGCGAGTTTGGAGATACAGAACACATTTTTCTGGAGCTTCTGGAGTTCTAGCTATGCCAGCTATGCCAGCTGGCTGACCGATTTGACAGAATGGGTAGTAGCTTACACAAGCGCAGGAGTGTTTCCCTAAAAACTAATCAGAACTTGCGACTCAAAAGTCTGGGGTATAGATTCAACGATGAGACATGACCGAAGCACTAATGTAGAAGCTCCTGTCGACCTGCTGCGCAACTTCTTGGAATTTCGGCTTAATGTTCTTTAGTGTTGGTTCGCCGTTCGAAACAGGCCTTTAGATCCTTGTATGCAATGAGGTAGAACAGTGAACTGCTTCCACAGGTATTTATTCACAGGAATGACCATTTCAAGGACATCAAATGCTTAAAGGAAAAAAGGTGGGGCCTTGCATAGTTCTCAGCACGAAAACCGACAGCTTAAACTGTCAGTTCTGATAAACAAATATATGCACATGTCTTTATGATTTTTCTATTTGACCTGGATTGAACCTCAATGTATCAAAGTGCTTTCAATCAATATTGGCTCTCTTTCTGTCCACTTATCTTTGCTACCCTTTAATCATAAACAAAGGCCCAACAACTAGAGTAGATTTTATCAAAAACCAGATAATGAAAGTTAGATCACACGAACTCCACAAGGTCTAGCCATAGCAGATAAAAAAACTGTCATGATAATAGAATTAGGAGGGAATTCAAGGAAACGCATTAATGAGCCAGTAATTGCTTGAAACTCTGGATCAGTGATACCTGAATAGCAAAACCAAAAGTATTCTTTTTTCGAAATGGTTCTAGTTTCATATATCGAAATGAACAAGCGAATGAGCTAAGACCAATCGAAATCATATAAATGCGAAGCACATACCGAGCCGGATCATCGTGAGGATATGGATTAACGAACACCTCGCTGTTTGGAACCACGGCAGGTATACTCAACGATCGAAGGCCCTAGGGAGAAAAATAGAGATAACGATTAGTCCTCTAGGGACTGTACACTGTTCGTCAGCAAATCTCCTCTCCACCACACGCGCTTAACTCTGATGGTATGACAGCATTTACTTGTCGAGCCGCGTCCTTTTGCAACCGTCTGATGGTGCACAAAGTCATCAACACCCCTAGAGGCACGTTACCGAGCGCAGATTCTGAAAAGAACTGATTACATATTTGGGATTCATTTGCTTATTGTCTGTCGTGAAGTATGAAAATATTTGGTAACTTCGTAGTGTGAATTTCTCAATTCCGACAAACAAACACCAATGATGATATCGAAACGCATGCAATCAGACTATCAAGTTGGGAGAACAAGTAAACAAAATAGAAGCAGTGTATCCATCAAGTCTAGATCCACTTGTTTTGCTCGATTCAGCTTAATTCTTATTTGGTGGCATTCATCCGGCATTTGGTCTCATCTTGACGAATACCATCAGAAACGATGAACTGAACCAAAAGAAGAGAACAGATGCACGAGCATTATTGTGCATTACACATCATTTTGCGCTAGTCTTTGTGTCCTTGACCGGGAGGCCCAATGGGAACTATTTTCCTGGATCTAGGTTGTCAAACAAATCACGATACGAACGTCTTTGGGAGTAAAATAAATTAATTTAGAACTCGCTACCCATATCAGGGTAAGTGAACGCTAGTTAAGAACACAACACACCAACGTATAATTCAAACTAACCAGAACAGACACTAGTTCACAATGATCAACAGTGCATTGAAGATGATCGGTCAATGGAGACCCCCCATACAAGACCGAAACAGGAGCGAGGCACCAAATAAGGCAACAGTTGGGCAACGCGCATATTACGATATACGCTCAGCCGCCCTGTTTTAGTTGTGCATGTTGGAAAACACCTCTTGCCTAGATCGTCGCTTATTGATGGGCTATGGGCCGGAGAGAGTGAGTATCAGGAACCTGAATGTATCGAATACAGTTGATTTGACTCAATCAAATAGTTTTGTGATTTTTATCTACTAGCGCGATTCCTCTCGCAACTTGCGATTCAGTCTGAGCGTAAGTTATGTCGTTTCTAACGGGACCTTTTGGATCATGGAGCTTGTATTTTTCTTCTCTTGCAGATCGTCTGTTAAAATTCTCCACAGAGAATCTTCTGNTCTGGTCGTTGAACTTTCCAGCCCATGCAGAGACTCGGCCCATATTCGACTGTCTCACAAATCCGATCACGGAAGACAACCTGCTGTCTAAGCGTAGTAAACTAGTGAAATCTAATGAACGCATGAGAATTAGATTAAAAATGCACCAATTCAAACAGAACTAAAAGCAGTGTGTGAAGACCGCGGTACGATGCGAGCTATAACTATCGCAAAGGAGATCACTGCATTTCAGAGGCATTGAACGGCTGTAAAAGGACATAGAACGACCGGCTTATGATATCCGGAGGACAGGCATAACGTATTGTGAGTATTGTAAGATTGCTGTGACAACCTAGTGAGGATTGTGAGTGGTCGGTGTGTTCTGGCGTAGAGATAAGTCTAAAAGCAAACATGTGGTAAAATACTCAACATTAGACACAATCTCACCAAATCCGAGTTATGATTTGTCTATCTGGATCGCAACAAGAACAAAACAATCGGTCTTTTTTAAACAAAAAGATAACGTGAACCTTTATGTAACCGATTGAACACGTTCAAATACACATTTCGCAGTTCATCAAAGAACAATATCATGGGGTGAAAAGGCTGTTGGTGTAAATAAATACCTGTGGTCTATTTGAGTTGATTATCATAAATCCGATATGACCGATCTTTTCAGGTTTTCAGAACTTGAAATTTATTCGAACTGTATCGGTGAGAATCCACCTCGTATGAGGGACCACAAACCCAAAAATGATAAGAATAAAGAAAGAAATGGGGGTTGACTGCATTTTGCACTAGTGCAAAAATACTGTTCCACTTACTGTGGAATTCGGAGGAATGGCAACCGCCACCTGTTCCACGTAATTGGCAAAAGGGCCCAAACCATACACAGCGAATGGTACCTGTAAGGCACCACAACAACTTTGTACGCCAAGCAATCCTCTAGATCGCACACGCCGACCGTCTGCCGACTCGGTACGGTAAGCAGAGCTCAAACCGGGAACTGGGAGTCCGTAAGGTAACCGGTTATCTGCGCAATCCATAGCGGACGAACACAGACCATTCAAGATGGTCACCTGTTTTGTGGAACGGTGAAACAAACGTGAAGGTACATGGAACAATGAGAGATCAAAGAGGGAAAAGTGTGAAATTAAACGGAACGCGCCCGTAGGGCAGGCAAGTAAGACAACCAGATCATTTGGAATTTCCAATTTGAATGGCGAAGTGGAGCAGACGTGCGGATGCAACTTTTAGGAGTAATGTCAGCAACAACAGAAAATAAAAAACCTTGGAGGCCGGACTGAATTACCTTTAGAAAATAGAAATCGTTAACCATTTCTTGAAGGAACAGTTGAACAGCCGGAATGTTCAAAGTGTTGATGGATCCGACAAATACATCCATAGATCCCTGGAAAAGAGAAACAGGTGATGTATTCGTTGAGTACACGATCAAACTGGATGTTCAAATGAAATTGTGAACTAACAATCAAAACCCTGAGATGGGAAAAGAAATGAGTTGATTATTCTGTAAGGAATGTGTGAAGTGAAAACCGGACTATAGAGCTTTCCATGGGTGACGAATAGAATAAGACAAGGCCGGAAGGGAAATTGAGAACGATCGATTTTCACGAGTGACCTCTTTGCCGTATGAATCAATGAATCTGTGAGTCAAGGAAAACGTGGTAACTTGTCTAGAACTGCCCAAGTAACCAAAAAAGACGGAATATATTACCGAAATTCAATTAATCGGTTCGAGGTGTTTGAATACAGGGATCGTAGCTATCTCTTAACCGCTAAACCGGAAGGCTATCTCTTGTAAAAGATCCTTGAATTTCAATGCATAGGTTTCTGACTATATAACCTTCAGAAAGTGTTAGACAGTTAGGGATTGTTTACCAGTTGGTTTATTGTGATAAAACGAGTCCCGTTAGAAAGAGTCGATTGAATTCACCCAGAGTTAAAGTACCTGTACTCGTGGTAGGCAAGTTCACACTAATTGCAGTGTGCGTTCGGCACTTGACGTGAGAACATGGTCAGAGGGTGGTGGTGGTCCAATAGTCTAAAACGTTGTCACCGATCTTTATGCTGAAGCTCTAACCTGACCCCGTAGCCGAAGTTCAACGGTAGGCAGCCCTGATGCAACCAATCCTCCCAAATGGAGCCTCATATTACTTTTCACTCAAAGTCACCGGATTGAGAGCTCCTGCGTTCCAGAAACAGAATACCGGAGACCCCGCGATTATAAGATTTGGACCTTATGCTGGTGATTGCATTAGAGCAAAAGAAAAAAGCTTGTAAAAGTGCAGTGTTTCTCGAGGATGGTGTATCTTGGGTGGGCACAGACGGTGACATCGATAGTGACTTTGTGAATACCAAAGTTACCGTAGATTTTCCACCGTAGAGATTTCGGTTCTCATCGGTTTCTACAATCATTGTCGATGCATCTTCATGTGGTGGTTTGATTGCTGCCGGTTTTGACAAAACAGTAGAGGTAGGATTGGAATGTTGAGAACATTGTCAAATAGAAAACATAAATGCTAGTCCATTAAGACTGCAGAGATTGAAAACATGGACGAGCGCCACTATTCATGGCACTCAGTCATATCACTGTGTCTCTAGCCATCGGTTACGCTGATCCTAAAGGTTCCATTTAGAGAGCCTAACGGGACCGGTATGACCGAGTCTCCTCGTTAGAGGTTTTCATACTCTCGGGTCTTGGTTTGATCACTTTAAGCCTTCTTTCACACACCGGCTACTTCGCATACCGAGACATCCTACTTGGTGGCATGCGTAATACAGGACCCAAACAACTTAGTCTATAAAGATCCACCACTTGCCTCAGCGGGCGACCGCAATCACCTAGAACTCTGCATTTAACCTCTATTAAGACTGAACATATGCGACCACGATTACCTGAAACCCTGCATGTCCGGCATTCCTACCAGACTTGTACAATACGCCGTAAACAACGGTGGTCGAACACTGAGACCTTTATCCTGATTCTGTAACGACCAAGTCTCCATCCTCGTACCCATCCTCAAGATAAACTAGATTTCAACTTCAAGTGCTAATAATGATAACTGACAACTCTTGAAAAGGATTGGTTGCGATCTAAGGGAAAAAATCAATACTCATTTTTAGCTGATAATCCCAGATATGAGAAGTAAACGCTCAGGAAATCCAACCAGCTATGCGCATGAGAAAACGGAACAATAGAACTGGCAGGATAGTATTAAATCGATACGTGCAAACGCGAGAAAACTTACCCGTTCACCCAAGTCGAAAAAGGCAATCTGACGGACTTTAGTAGTTTTCTCTGGCAATTGAGATCCTGGCAGTAAAAATGCTGACAACTTTTGATGCCTGGTGACCGAATCTCGGCCCTGATTAAGGAGCACCACTGGGAGTGAGCCAACAGGTTCCGAGGGGGCAGACTCTAAAAAGTAGGTTAGTGCGACGCCAATGTCTGTTTTGCCGTCCAAATCGAAATCTCCAACAGTGGGACCAACAAGGGCGCTCACAGCCAAACCGGAGTCCAATTTGGGAGTCACTGTGAGTGACCAAGTGAAGGCTACCTCAGAGGGAAGTCCGAAAGGCTTCCAATCCACATCAAGCGGAGACCACTAGAATCAAGGGGTGAGACAACCGATCATCGGCCACTGAGCCAATCAAGGAGAGCAGGTGGTAAAATAAAGTTTTGATTTTTTAAATGGTGAAAATTGAAGGACAGAAGGAAAATGAAACATAAGATGCGATGGATGAACTATAGGAAGAATCAATTGTCTTGGCTTATTAAACTAACGCCCAAAATCTAATCTAAACAACCTCGAAACCTGTGAGGCAACACTATACTGTCGGTAATTAAGTTAACGGATTTCATACACTCATTGTAATCTATTTCTGGATTAGAAGTTACGCGTCCATACAGAATGTTGTGTTTTGGACTGGGCAATCCGACTGCACCAGCACCAGGTGGTGTATATTTCATTCCTTCGGAGTCCGCCTATTACCCATAAGCTGGAGATATGCTTCCGAGAGAAGTGGGAATGTATTCGACATATGAGGAATAAACGAAATATCCAGGAATTAAAACCCCATACCCGAAACAGAGGGTCTGATGCCAATGAAATCGAATGTGCTAACCAAAACACTGGAAATTAATAGAGTCGACACACCTCAAAATGTTGATCATTGATTGTGTTGGGACTTTTCATCGCCAACCCAAAATTTCGAATCTCGACAGGAGCACAAGTATGCACTGTTAATGCAGTTCAAGAAACAGTTTGTCTAGCGTGTTATCGACCACCACGAATAAACTCCATCCATCCATATATTCGCAGGTTAATTTTCTACATCGTATGAGGTGAAGAATAAAAAAGGATTTTCGCTTGGCAGATCCGTGCTCATGTCTCGATGGGCCATGTATCGGAGAACAAAAATCCCTGGTAAAACAGAAGTGAAGCATCTTAATAAGGAACAATCAGACAGAATAAGTCACACGCGACAATATAATGTGTGATCAACCATCAACGGGTCGATACGCAGTGAAACGTAAACATACCACATCCGTTCGGAAATTATACGTGAAGATGAAGCTTCCACCTCTACAGTCGGTAGTGGTACAGGCTGGCAATACAAGATTTATGGTTCCATCCGCGGCTGAAATCAAGAAAGGAAGGAAAAGCACATGACGCAAACGGGAAACACTGATTAAACACGAAGCAGAAAGACAACGCAAGGGTAAATAGACACGTAAGATAGCTTTGCTCGGGTAGAATTCAAATGTGCACGCAGACATTCATCGACATGATTTCCTCTTACATCAATA